CACGTTATTGTCAAGACATCTGTGCAGAAACAGGATCTGCGAATAGGTTGAGACCTCATGAAGGGTAAATGTCCCAGCAATCAAGTCATCTTCTTCTCAATTACTTCCTGGGACTCGCATGTTCGCTTGTATTGGTAACCATCATCAGTCAGTCATGCCCAGCCCCAAGTGGTGCACCACTAGAGGCTCGAAGCCCCGATTGTTTTGCTCAGAGTCTAACGCTCTAACCATTGAACCAGGAGCTCGCTAGCTTGCCGGTTTAGACCAGGAATATTGACATTCGTTAGCTGAGCCCGTAGCTCAATAACTCGGTATGAACGGCTGATGACGGCTTACTGGCGATTTCAGTCTCCCTTGTCTTTACCAGCAATGCTTATCTGCCTACATTACTAGCCACTGTGCAGTTGCCGGTGGAGCTGGAAATTGAGCCCCAGGACAGAGGAGGGAAAAGTGAGTTCTGTTAGTGATCGGTGAACGTTTAGCAACGATATGTATTATTTTCCGATTAGACATTGCTATGTGACGACCTGTGGTAAACCAGACTTTCAACGCACAAAGGCGTAGCCATGTCTCTCGAGTATAGTTAGCTTCACATCCTTCCAGACGCACCTGGTCACCTAGGAAATCCCCTTTGGACAGTCAGCTTACCGTATCGGAATTGGTGGATTCCATACTATGCAGTAGGCTTGGCGAGTAAACTAAAGCAAGTGTGATTTAACTCACGGCACTCCCGGTGAGGGCTCGTAGATCAGATGGTTAGAGCATTGGCTACATTAAAGCCTTGCCCTTGTTATCTTGGGTTGGAATTCCACCGAGGCTGCCAAGTTTTTCAAAACTGGGACAAAGAAATTATTCAAGTCTGCCTGTTAGATAGTAGAGCAACTGATTCCCTCGAACATTGTGTTCACCACTGCTTAGCACCCTGTCTGAAACAATGCTGGCACTGAACAGGGCGATTGTGAGAGCATTCGAAAGTCTGATAAATTATTTCAGAAGGAGAAAGTTGTTAGGAGAAGCCTAACAGGCAGATAGCATGTAAGCGCGAGCAGCGCTCACAACAGGCTATCGATCGGCCTGCACGAGGCGAACGCATACTCGCAGTCAATCAATCGATAATTTAAAATTCAAGCTACAGTCGGCCATCGAGTCACCAGCCAAGCCAGGACAGAAGGTGATTGGCCCGATGGACATAGTTTTACATTCGTTTGTTGCCGTAAATATGCTGTATTGGTTACACTCAAAGACTTCTGCTTTTGCCCTATTCTTGTCGTGTTCTACCTTGGGGGACTCACACGAGGCGTAATTAGGCGGTGACATCGCGGCCTTGGCTACCGTTACAACAAAAGTGACAGTAAAGACGCTGTATATTATAAGGTGGCGGTGGGGAAAAAACAACCAGGAAACGAATAAGGCATATGCGTTTATAAGCCGCGACTCTTAAGCGAAGTTCCTAAGAAGCTCCTGGGAAAATATGTGTGTTTGGAAAAATAAATAGACTGCAGAACTGAAAACAGATTGGCAAAAATGTGGCCACTGAATTTGTTATAACCGGTCCTGGTACTCCGAAAATGAACAAATCATATATAGATGGACGAGGAAGAAGGCATACCGAGCACCAGATCAATTGATTTATTTTTCTGAGCTTTCATATATACGCGTTCCTCTGTTGTCCCAAGTCACTATAAAGCAGAGCAAAACGCGATCGGCAAAAAATGCACTGACCATCAACGCGATTAATGCGATGCTTATGCACAACATCCCAAAACATCAAGATCGACGAGGAAGTAGTTGACCAACGCTCCGAAGACTGTTGCGTCTTTGACTGACCATAAGGTTTAGGCTGGAATTACAGACTTTAGATGGATAGAATGAAGAAATTGAAGGTGTACGCAGCGACTGTAGTTTAAGTAGTGCACCTGATATACCCCAAATCCGAGCATGCTGTCCTACGAAAACGGTGGTTATAGAGGTTTTATGGGTGGGGAATTAGGATAGGCCGTGGAAAATACTTTAATAACTGTTATATGCATTTTGTTATTTTATTGTATTTAGAAAGGTTGCTGATCTATATCATTAGATTTTCCGAATCTGTATTATCTTTTAACGTATTGTGGAAAAATCTGATTATCAAAGTACAGTGTTCTTGAAATTCCTGAAAAATAGAAATGGAGGTTAGGAGGTCGTCTACTTCAACTTATCTGAGGTCCAACTTATCGTTCTGTACCGGTTTTCGTGAATCTGTCTTGATAGTACACGAGATGCTGCGCAAGCATAGTATCCTTGTAAACTAATTCGCGTGCGAGTCATCGTCGGAGATCCCACAACATGGGACATACGATATGTATCCTCGTTCGCAACGGTCGAACTGATCTCAGTGAGCAGTGGGCGTATTTACAGCATGTTGTTCCGATTGGTTAGAATTCTGCTCACTACATTCCAAAAGGGACTGAAATAACCAAACAACTTTTCACAGAAGTGGACTAGGCAGGCTCCAAGGAGATACTATGGCAAAAACCAATGAGGAGACACTGTCGAGAACTGGCTTGCCACACGCAAGCAACACGTAGCGGGGAAGCAAATGCGTGCTTTTCAGTGTGATCGAATGATCTCTTTATGAAATGTGGACATTCCTAACATAAGTGCAGTATCGGGAGGATGTATCCACACTGATCACAGAGTAAACCCAAAGTCAAAAGACATCCTACTTTCTGACGCACTCAAGAGTAAATTGGAGACAGAACACGTGGACTCAAATCTCTTTTACTGTATTTCGATCGGATACTGCTTCCGTAGTGTTTCGATGCGGAGCAACTCGTGGCATATTTCAGTTATACATAAATGTTTGCCCTACCTATCATGCTCCATAGTCTAATCTCATGCACCGCCGACGTTGGAAAAATATAGTGTAATTTTAACATCAGAAGGAGTAACTATACATGTTCATACGGTCAAAAAATGCACACATAGTATGCCAGTAAAGAAAATAAATGCAAAGCAGCCAGTTCCTGCGTCCAGTATGTCGATCGATAACACTATGGTCCAGCATATTTCATTTAGTGTTTTAAAACGAAAAGAACTGCTACTTGACATGTTTCAGTAACACGTTTTGGTACAGATCTATTGTTATGTCCAGGCAGAACTGACATATTTGTAGTTTGACGACGCATTTCGTGTTTATACTGTTTTCCAGACATGGTACAGTGTGCAAATAGGGAGTTCATGTGTAAATGCTTATGTTTTCCCCCAAATAAACTGAACTATGTGAAACCTCACACTAGCGACACTGGTAACTGGATTGGGTTAAGGGATCCAGTGTTCACGAAGCATGCTGGGTGAGCATTGCTACTGCTCGGTAAGATACGGGTGATGGAAGGTCTGAACAGCCCCCTGACCACAACCAAGATGGTTGATAATGTACTTTGGTAGAAAATAGGCGCAAATGGACCAGACTTATTGGCCTTTCAAGTTACATTGAGGAAAATCCTATGTTTAAGGTTTCAGGATGCCTCGTGATAGAAAGCTCTCCAAAACATGAACGTTATCACGTGTTAGACAGATTTTCGGCCTTAACCGAGAACAGAGGATGTCGTACCGTTTAAAAACATTCAGGCCTAAGAATCTGGTCTGCAAATGAAATTACGTGATTGTCTAGTCGGTAATATTTTCCATTTAGCCCCGTCCGAAAAAATAAGATAAGAAGGAAAAAAACTGTAAATCAGGACGCACCTTCCTTCACGGACAATGGTGTAGAGGTTAGAACCGGGAGAGCGGACGCACTCGGAGAGGTCTACGACCGTTGATCCCGCTCTGCTGGCGTTCCGATCACCCGCGTCCGGACCCTCACTCTCGTTGGTGACGATACGGCCGCCATCAATGATCAGATCTAACTGGGGCCAAAGGGGTTGGAATTCCTGAAATGCAGGGGGTATATCAATTAACCAACAGTCACGTGAAATGGGAGCTAAAAGATACGCGTTCGCGATCCTCGAATTAAAAGCATATTTTGGATAACGTTTCGGATCCCATTTTTGGCCTCATATGGAGGAAGTTGTTAAATTTCGAGGGCTCTGAGTAGAGGGAGGGACAAAGTCGAATTTAATCCCGGAGAGTCATGGGCGTCTGTCATTGAGTCGTTCGCTTGCAATCACAAGCAGGACCGATGAGGTTATATAGGATTCCTTGTGCTTGAGTACTGGCCACGATAGGGCCAAGAAAGTGGAGAATTGCCGAGGAGCATGAGACGGACAGAATAGCGGCTGCACTACCATAACTCCTCGAATCTGCTTCAAAATTATTCAAACTGCCTACGTGCAGATATAGTACTGACAAGTATTGGGCAAACTGGTAGTAGTACTACTACTGTAACATTCATCATGTCAATGTCATATTCAGATTGATTTGCTACTAACTGCGTGTTAGGACTTGGCCGAGTTGGCCGAAGCATGTGTCCTTAAACCCGCTTAGTCGTCCACTGATGGTTCACGTTCCTCGTCCCACCCTGTGCCCACATGCTTCGTGTACCGTGTTCTGACCCCATGACCTCGTTAACTGCCTTCCCATTCGTTGACACACTGCAATCTTTATTCCAGTGCCCTTATTCACTACTCTGCACGCTCTTCGTTCCCAAAATCCTGTCCTTATTAGCTCCCTCGTTCTTTGCGTTCCTGCCTCGTGTGCTTATTCCCTTATAAACTGGCAGCAACGCGTCTGCGTCATTCACACGACTGCTCGTCTAAGCACCTCGAATGTATGTCCACCCTCCTTTTGATTTCTACCTCACATTTTTCTACTTCTATCGTGCACTGTTAACCCTACTGTTTATTTCGGTAGAACCCCACCGAGTTGCCCTGACTGCCTCTTGACACCTAGAGAATATCCGAATTATCCAGACTGTCTTTTGACATAGCTACTGACCCCGGGTGCGCCTATTTAGGTGACAAAACGTAGCACTGCAATACGAAAAGCGCATATTATTAAGAAGAAGCACAACTACTACTACTACTAAAACCATCGGTTTTTGTGCTGCGAATGGATGATAAAAGATGGATCAATGATAGAAGAGAACGGGCGATTTCCAGAAAGCAGGTCAGAAGTAGAAGATGCGACAGCTGGAACAAGAGTTTTACTTGCCTGACGTTTCGGAGTTTAGCATGAACCCATCAGCAGAGATAACCGCAAAAAAGGCACGGATTACGTAGCGCCCACGCGTACTAGAATTAGTAACCATCGTGATCATAGCCTGGGGCCGTGCTTGATACGATAATGGCTTGGCAGTCCGCGTCCAATTCACTAATTACCACGAATTCTTTATCCGTGTAGGGTGTTGGTGTGACAATTAAGCAACAATTAGGCTCGCTGTTATCGAAATTGCTGCTGGCCCATGCCCTTCCCACATGGCTGATTCCCCTGC